GTCTGCTGAAAGGGTTTCCCTTCCCCTGTGCCAGGAAGTCGAGTGATGCACTGGACATCACAGATAAGGAAAACTGAGGCTCAGTAAGGCTCAACCACAGCCTGACCCTCCCTTCTCCCACTGCCAGCGGCCTGTGGCGTCCCAGGTGACCACCCCGCTGAGACTGGCTTTCGCTCTGCCGAAAGGGCCCTTCTGGTCCAAGCAGCTGTGGAGGCTGCACTGGGCTCAGAGTGCTGGGCCTCGTGCTTCAAGTCAGGCGGGCTGCAGCTGCCAATCAGGACAGGTGAGGAGAGAGGACAGGGCAGGCGAGAGGACAGGGTAGGCGGTGGTGCCGGCCCAAGTGTCCTACGGTACCGAATGGTTGCGGTGGCCTAGGAGACATCGGCCGAGGCCCGAAGGATCTGCAGAGCAGTGGTGGCGGCGGCGACCCATAGTCCACGTGGGACGGCATGGGGCCTCCCAGGAACGGGGGCCCTGGATGGGCTGGGGGCCCCTTCACGGCCATGCTCACCTGCGAACAGAAGCAGGCCCAGTTTAGAGCTCGGCAGTGAACCGGTTGCCCGTCCCAAGAGGAGTCAAGGGATCCCGGACCCTACTGGCCCCTCTTGAGTAGCAAGCCAAGCATCGAGCATGGTCACCACGCTGCCCCACTTGTGTGCAGAGATGAGCTCCAGAGGTGCCAGCGGGGCGCTGCACCAGCTCGCTGCACTCTTGCCAGCATGAGCGTGGCCCTGGGCACGACAGGGGCGGCACAAGGGCTCCCAGGGTCCCGGGGTATCTGGGGAGAACAGGAAGCTACCTCGGCCTGTTGACACTGCACAGGGAGGGGCTGGCGGAGGCGCCTGTGCCTGGGCTGCTTGGGAGGCAGTCCATGGAGCTCTGACCATTGCAGGCGGCCCCATGCGGTGTGAAGGCTGCCAAGGCATCAGCCTAAGGACCAGGAGGCACAGCAGCCTGGGCCGCCCGGGGTCGGATTCAGGGGGCCCTGGAACTGGCTCCCCACTCCCACAAGAGCCCACGCCCACCTCATCCCCATCATTGCAAGGGGTCTGCCTAGCACAGACCCTGAGGACCCCAACAGCTGCTCCCAAAATTCAAGCGCACGCGAGTGTGGCGATGCATACCGGTCATCCCGCACTCGGGAGGCTGAGGTGGGAGGACTGCTAGGGAACTGCAGGTGGGCTCTGGGTACTGTGAGGTCAAGTCCTGCTTGACCAAACACTCAAGGCAGGGGCGTGAGGTGTGCTGTGCTCCAGCACTCAGCACGCGGCCCGAGCCTTAGTGAAGGCCCAGTCAGATGGTGACCTAGTCAGCGGGGTCATCACGCCCAGGCCAGCTGGAGAACAGAGTGGAAACCGAAGGCACATGGAGCGGCTTGGGCCCATGCACGGGCTCCAGGCTCACCTTGGCGTTGTCCATGTCCTTCGCTGGGGAGGAGCCGCGGGAGCTGCTGTTGGCCACGGGGCCAGGGCCGGGATCTGGGGGCAGAGAAGGCACTCAGAGGACTTTCCCAGGACGAGGACGAGTATGGGGACGAGGATGAGGATGAAGACAAGGACCGGAAGAGGCCTCGGGCACGCCCTCAGATGTGCACTGGGGAACACTGCAGCGCCCCGAGGACTGTCCCTGGAGGGAGCAGAGGCATGGCTGCCTCTGACAGGCAGCTGCAAGGCCCGTGGGAGGCAGGAGGCCAGGGAGCCCTCGAGTGGAGCCAGAGGTACCAGGCTCACTGAGCAGGCATCAAGTGAGGGTGGGGGGGTCGAAGGAGGCCTCAGCCTGCGCGGGCTCCACCTGGTCAGCACTTCGCGGACCTGGGGAGCTGGGAAAGCTGTGTTGTGGCAGCCCAAGCCAGAGGCGGAGGCTGCTTTAGGTCTCAGGCTGTGGAGGAGGAAGACAGGGCCAAGGAAGACTGAGTCCGCACACAGCGGCCACGTGCTTTGGGAGCAGCGCACAGAACCAGTAACACGCGGACCTGCCAGCTCGGGAGCCGTCCCTGGTGGCCCGCAGGTGAGTGGTGACGAAAGTGCGCCCACTCATTGAACACTGTGCAGAGAGGGAGAGGGCGACACTGTGGCCTCTGCCATGCCACAGCCAGAGAGGGTTGGGAGTGACCGGGTGGGCGACTGCTCCCAGGACCCTGCTCCTGCACTGCAATGGAGTTGGGCCTGCACAGGACCCAGGGCTAAGTGGAAACCCGAGCCAGGAGTGCCCGGGCTCTGTACCAGAGTCCAGGGAACCATGCTCGGGGCAATGCAGCATGCTGTCATGGAGTCCCAGGACTCGAGGCCCTGGAGAGGCTCACCGAAGTCGGCTCTGGGAATGTCACAGCATGCGAAGTTTAGGCTCGCAGAGGGCGGCCATCCATGGTCCTGAGGCCCGGCACTTGGTGGTGGGTTTTCCTGGGACCCCCGCAGGCGGCGGTGGGTAGTCGTGGGGCCGGGCAGGCGGCGGTGGGTAGTCCGGGAGCCCGGCACTTGGTGGTTGGTAGTCCTGGGGCCCGGCAGGCGGTGGTGGGTTGTCCTGGGGCCCGGCAGGCATCGGTGGGTTATCCTGGGGCCCGGCAGGTGGTGGTCGGTAGTCTTGGAGTCCAGCGGGTGGCATTCGCAGATCCGAAATGAAATATGCTCGGGCGCCGAGCGGGCCTGGAGGCCTGAATGGCACAGGTCCAGGCAAGAACTCGCGGGGATGTAGCGGCAGGTCGTGGCGTCCGGGCAGCATGCCGGGCGCATAGTCTCTTAAGCCCAGTGGTGGGCCCATGCGTGCAACTGGAAAGCAAGAGGGACATGCGGACACGTCCTGAGGAGCAGCCCAGGTCTGCTGAAAGGGTTTCCCTTCCCCTGTGCCAGGAAGTCGAGTGATGCACTGGACATCACAGATAAGGAAAACTGAGGCTCAGTAAGGCTCAACCACAGCCTGACCCTCCCTTCTCCCACTGCCAGCGGCCTGTGGCGTCCCAGGTGACCACCCCGCTGAGACTGGCTTTCGCTCTGCCGAAAGGGCCCTTCTGGTCCAAGCAGCTGTGGAGGCTGCACTGGGCTCAGAGTGCTGGGCCTCGTGCTTCAAGTCAGGCGGGCTGCAGCTGCCAATCAGGACAGGTGAGGAGAGAGGACAGGGCAGGCGAGAGGACAGGGTAGGCGGTGGTGCCGGCCCAAGTGTCCTACGGTACCGAATGGTTGCGGTGGCCTAGGAGACATCGGCCGAGGCCCGAAGGATCTGCAGAGCAGTGGTGGCGGCGGCGACCCATAGTCCACGTGGGACGGCATGGGGCCTCCCAGGAACGGGGGCCCTGGATGGGCTGGGGGCCCCTTCACGGCCATGCTCACCTGCGAACAGAAGCAGGCCCAGTTTAGAGCTCGGCAGTGAACCGGTTGCCCGTCCCAAGAGGAGTCAAGGGATCCCGGACCCTACTGGCCCCTCTTGAGTAGCAAGCCAAGCATCGAGCATGGTCACCACGCTGCCCCACTTGTGTGCAGAGATGAGCTCCAGAGGTGCCAGCGGGGCGCTGCACCAGCTCGCTGCACTCTTGCCAGCATGAGCGTGGCCCTGGGCACGACAGGGGCGGCACAAGGGCTCCCAGGGTCCCGGGGTATCTGGGGAGAACAGGAAGCTACCTCGGCCTGTTGACACTGCACAGGGAGGGGCTGGCGGAGGCGCCTGTGCCTGGGCTGCTTGGGAGGCAGTCCATGGAGCTCTGACCATTGCAGGCGGCCCCATGCGGTGTGAAGGCTGCCAAGGCATCAGCCTAAGGACCAGGAGGCACAGCAGCCTGGGCCGCCCGGGGTCGGATTCAGGGGGCCCTGGAACTGGCTCCCCACTCCCACAAGAGCCCACGCCCACCTCATCCCCATCATTGCAAGGGGTCTGCCTAGCACAGACCCTGAGGACCCCAACAGCTGCTCCCAAAATTCAAGCGCACGCGAGTGTGGCGATGCATACCGGTCATCCCGCACTCGGGAGGCTGAGGTGGGAGGACTGCTAGGGAACTGCAGGTGGGCTCTGGGTACTGTGAGGTCAAGTCCTGCTTGACCAAACACTCAAGGCAGGGGCGTGAGGTGTGCTGTGCTCCAGCACTCAGCACGCGGCCCGAGCCTTAGTGAAGGCCCAGTCAGATGGTGACCTAGTCAGCGGGGTCATCACGCCCAGGCCAGCTGGAGAACAGAGTGGAAACCGAAGGCACATGGAGCGGCTTGGGCCCATGCACGGGCTCCAGGCTCACCTTGGCGTTGTCCATGTCCTTCGCTGGGGAGGAGCCGCGGGAGCTGCTGTTGGCCACGGGGCCAGGGCCGGGATCTGGGGGCAGAGAAGGCACTCAGAGGACTTTCCCAGGACGAGGACGAGTATGGGGACGAGGATGAGGATGAAGACAAGGACCGGAAGAGGCCTCGGGCACGCCCTCAGATGTGCACTGGGGAACACTGCAGCGCCCCGAGGACTGTCCCTGGAGGGAGCAGAGGCATGGCTGCCTCTGACAGGCAGCTGCAAGGCCCGTGGGAGGCAGGAGGCCAGGGAGCCCTCGAGTGGAGCCAGAGGTACCAGGCTCACTGAGCAGGCATCAAGTGAGGGTGGGGGGGTCGAAGGAGGCCTCAGCCTGCGCGGGCTCCACCTGGTCAGCACTTCGCGGACCTGGGGAGCTGGGAAAGCTGTGTTGTGGCAGCCCAAGCCAGAGGCGGAGGCTGCTTTAGGTCTCAGGCTGTGGAGGAGGAAGACAGGGCCAAGGAAGACTGAGTCCGCACACAGCGGCCACGTGCTTTGGGAGCAGCGCACAGAACCAGTAACACGCGGACCTGCCAGCTCGGGAGCCGTCCCTGGTGGCCCGCAGGTGAGTGGTGACGAAAGTGCGCCCACTCATTGAACACTGTGCAGAGAGGGAGAGGGCGACACTGTGGCCTCTGCCATGCCACAGCCAGAGAGGGTTGGGAGTGACCGGGTGGGCGACTGCTCCCAGGACCCTGCTCCTGCACTGCAATGGAGTTGGGCCTGCACAGGACCCAGGGCTAAGTGGAAACCCGAGCCAGGAGTGCCCGGGCTCTGTACCAGAGTCCAGGGAACCATGCTCGGGGCAATGCAGCATGCTGTCATGGAGTCCCAGGACTCGAGGCCCTGGAGAGGCTCACCGAAGTCGGCTCTGGGAATGTCACAGCATGCGAAGTTTAGGCTCGCAGAGGGCGGCCATCCATGGTCCTGAGGCCCGGCACTTGGTGGTGGGTTTTCCTGGGACCCCCGCAGGCGGTGGTGGGTAGTCGTGGGGCCGGGCAGGCGGCGGTGGGTAGTCCGGGAGCCCGGCACTTGGTGGTTGGTAGTCCTGGGGCCCGGCAGGCGGTGGTGGGTTGTCCTGGGGCCCGGCAGGCATCGGTGGGTTATCCTGGGGCCCGGCAGGTGGTGGTCGGTAGTCTTGGAGTCCAGCGGGTGGCATTCGCAGATCCGAAATGAAATATGCTCGGGCGCCGAGCGGGCCTGGAGGCCTGAATGGCACAGGTCCAGGCAAGAACTCGCGGGGATGTAGCGGCAGGTCGTGGCGTCCGGGCAGCATGCCGGGCGCATAGTCTCTTAAGCCCAGTGGTGGGCCCATGCGTGCAACTGGAAAGCAAGAGGGACATGCGGACACGTCCTGAGGAGCAGCCCAGGTCTGCTGAAAGGGTTTCCCTTCCCCTGTGCCAGGAAGTCGAGTGATGCACTGGACATCACAGATAAGGAAAACTGAGGCTCAGTAAGGCTCAACCACAGCCTGACCCTCCCTTCTCCCACTGCCAGCGGCCTGTGGCGTCCCAGGTGACCACCCCGCTGAGACTGGCTTTCGCTCTGCCGAAAGGGCCCTTCTGGTCCAAGCAGCTGTGGAGGCTGCACTGGGCTCAGAGTGCTGGGCCTCGTGCTTCAAGTCAGGCGGGCTGCAGCTGCCAATCAGGACAGGTGAGGAGAGAGGACAGGGCAGGCGAGAGGACAGGGTAGGCGGTGGTGCCGGCCCAAGTGTCCTACGGTACCGAATGGTTGCGGTGGCCTAGGAGACATCGGCCGAGGCCCGAAGGATCTGCAGAGCAGTGGTGGCGGCGGCGACCCATAGTCCACGTGGGACGGCATGGGGCCTCCCAGGAACGGGGGCCCTGGATGGGCTGGGGGCCCCTTCACGGCCATGCTCACCTGCGAACAGAAGCAGGCCCAGTTTAGAGCTCGGCAGTGAACCGGTTGCCCGTCCCAAGAGGAGTCAAGGGATCCCGGACCCTACTGGCCCCTCTTGAGTAGCAAGCCAAGCATCGAGCATGGTCACCACGCTGCCCCACTTGTGTGCAGAGATGAGCTCCAGAGGTGCCAGCGGGGCGCTGCACCAGCTCGCTGCACTCTTGCCAGCATGAGCGTGGCCCTGGGCACGACAGGGGCGGCACAAGGGCTCCCAGGGTCCCGGGGTATCTGGGGAGAACAGGAAGCTACCTCGGCCTGTTGACACTGCACAGGGAGGGGCTGGCGGAGGCGCCTGTGCCTGGGCTGCTTGGGAGGCAGTCCATGGAGCTCTGACCATTGCAGGCGGCCCCATGCGGTGTGAAGGCTGCCAAGGCATCAGCCTAAGGACCAGGAGGCACAGCAGCCTGGGCCGCCCGGGGTCGGATTCAGGGGGCCCTGGAACTGGCTCCCCACTCCCACAAGAGCCCACGCCCACCTCATCCCCATCATTGCAAGGGGTCTGCCTAGCACAGACCCTGAGGACCCCAACAGCTGCTCCCAAAATTCAAGCGCACGCGAGTGTGGCGATGCATACCGGTCATCCCGCACTCGGGAGGCTGAGGTGGGAGGACTGCTAGGGAACTGCAGGTGGGCTCTGGGTACTGTGAGGTCAAGTCCTGCTTGACCAAACACTCAAGGCAGGGGCGTGAGGTGTGCTGTGCTCCAGCACTCAGCACGCGGCCCGAGCCTTAGTGAAGGCCCAGTCAGATGGTGACCTAGTCAGCGGGGTCATCACGCCCAGGCCAGCTGGAGAACAGAGTGGAAACCGAAGGCACATGGAGCGGCTTGGGCCCATGCACGGGCTCCAGGCTCACCTTGGCGTTGTCCATGTCCTTCGCTGGGGAGGAGCCGCGGGAGCTGCTGTTGGCCACGGGGCCAGGGCCGGGATCTGGGGGCAGAGAAGGCACTCAGAGGACTTTCCCAGGACGAGGACGAGTATGGGGACGAGGATGAGGATGAAGACAAGGACCGGAAGAGGCCTCGGGCACGCCCTCAGATGTGCACTGGGGAACACTGCAGCGCCCCGAGGACTGTCCCTGGAGGGAGCAGAGGCATGGCTGCCTCTGACAGGCAGCTGCAAGGCCCGTGGGAGGCAGGAGGCCAGGGAGCCCTCGAGTGGAGCCAGAGGTACCAGGCTCACTGAGCAGGCATCAAGTGAGGGTGGGGGGGTCGAAGGAGGCCTCAGCCTGCGCGGGCTCCACCTGGTCAGCACTTCGCGGACCTGGGGAGCTGGGAAAGCTGTGTTGTGGCAGCCCAAGCCAGAGGCGGAGGCTGCTTTAGGTCTCAGGCTGTGGAGGAGGAAGACAGGGCCAAGGAAGACTGAGTCCGCACACAGCGGCCACGTGCTTTGGGAGCAGCGCACAGAACCAGTAACACGCGGACCTGCCAGCTCGGGAGCCGTCCCTGGTGGCCCGCAGGTGAGTGGTGACGAAAGTGCGCCCACTCATTGAACACTGTGCAGAGAGGGAGAGGGCGACACTGTGGCCTCTGCCATGCCACAGCCAGAGAGGGTTGGGAGTGACCGGGTGGGCGACTGCTCCCAGGACCCTGCTCCTGCACTGCAATGGAGTTGGGCCTGCACAGGACCCAGGGCTAAGTGGAAACCCGAGCCAGGAGTGCCCGGGCTCTGTACCAGAGTCCAGGGAACCATGCTCGGGGCAATGCAGCATGCTGTCATGGAGTCCCAGGACTCGAGGCCCTGGAGAGGCTCACCGAAGTCGGCTCTGGGAATGTCACAGCATGCGAAGTTTAGGCTCGCAGAGGGCGGCCATCCATGGTCCTGAGGCCCGGCACTTGGTGGTGGGTTTTCCTGGGACCCCCGCAGGCGGCGGTGGGTAGTCGTGGGGCCGGGCAGGCGGCGGTGGGTAGTCCGGGAGCCCGGCACTTGGTGGTTGGTAGTCCTGGGGCCCGGCAGGCGGTGGTGGGTTGTCCTGGGGCCCGGCAGGCATCGGTGGGTTATCCTGGGGCCCGGCAGGTGGTGGTCGGTAGTCTTGGAGTCCAGCGGGTGGCATTCGCAGATCCGAAATGAAATATGCTCGGGCGCCGAGCGGGCCTGGAGGCCTGAATGGCACAGGTCCAGGCAAGAACTCGCGGGGATGTAGCGGCAGGTCGTGGCGTCCGGGCAGCATGCCGGGCGCATAGTCTCTTAAGCCCAGTGGTGGGCCCATGCGTGCAACTGGAAAGCAAGAGGGACATGCGGACACGTCCTGAGGAGCAGCCCAGGTCTGCTGAAAGGGTTTCCCTTCCCCTGTGCCAGGAAGTCGAGTGATGCACTGGACATCACAGATAAGGAAAACTGAGGCTCAGTAAGGCTCAACCACAGCCTGACCCTCCCTTCTCCCACTGCCAGCGGCCTGTGGCGTCCCAGGTGACCACCCCGCTGAGACTGGCTTTCGCTCTGCCGAAAGGGCCCTTCTGGTCCAAGCAGCTGTGGAGGCTGCACTGGGCTCAGAGTGCTGGGCCTCGTGCTTCAAGTCAGGCGGGCTGCAGCTGCCAATCAGGACAGGTGAGGAGAGAGGACAGGGCAGGCGAGAGGACAGGGTAGGCGGTGGTGCCGGCCCAAGTGTCCTACGGTACCGAATGGTTGCGGTGGCCTAGGAGACATCGGCCGAGGCCCGAAGGATCTGCAGAGCAGTGGTGGCGGCGGCGACCCATAGTCCACGTGGGACGGCATGGGGCCTCCCAGGAACGGGGGCCCTGGATGGGCTGGGGGCCCCTTCACGGCCATGCTCACCTGCGAACAGAAGCAGGCCCAGTTTAGAGCTCGGCAGTGAACCGGTTGCCCGTCCCAAGAGGAGTCAAGGGATCCCGGACCCTACTGGCCCCTCTTGAGTAGCAAGCCAAGCATCGAGCATGGTCACCACGCTGCCCCACTTGTGTGCAGAGATGAGCTCCAGAGGTGCCAGCGGGGCGCTGCACCAGCTCGCTGCACTCTTGCCAGCATGAGCGTGGCCCTGGGCACGACAGGGGCGGCACAAGGGCTCCCAGGGTCCCGGGGTATCTGGGGAGAACAGGAAGCTACCTCGGCCTGTTGACACTGCACAGGGAGGGGCTGGCGGAGGCGCCTGTGCCTGGGCTGCTTGGGAGGCAGTCCATGGAGCTCTGACCATTGCAGGCGGCCCCATGCGGTGTGAAGGCTGCCAAGGCATCAGCCTAAGGACCAGGAGGCACAGCAGCCTGGGCCGCCCGGGGTCGGATTCAGGGGGCCCTGGAACTGGCTCCCCACTCCCACAAGAGCCCACGCCCACCTCATCCCCATCATTGCAAGGGGTCTGCCTAGCACAGACCCTGAGGACCCCAACAGCTGCTCCCAAAATTCAAGCGCACGCGAGTGTGGCGATGCATACCGGTCATCCCGCACTCGGGAGGCTGAGGTGGGAGGACTGCTAGGGAACTGCAGGTGGGCTCTGGGTACTGTGAGGTCAAGTCCTGCTTGACCAAACACTCAAGGCAGGGGCGTGAGGTGTGCTGTGCTCCAGCACTCAGCACGCGGCCCGAGCCTTAGTGAAGGCCCAGTCAGATGGTGACCTAGTCAGCGGGGTCATCACGCCCAGGCCAGCTGGAGAACAGAGTGGAAACCGAAGGCACATGGAGCGGCTTGGGCCCATGCACGGGCTCCAGGCTCACCTTGGCGTTGTCCATGTCCTTCGCTGGGGAGGAGCCGCGGGAGCTGCTGTTGGCCACGGGGCCAGGGCCGGGATCTGGGGGCAGAGAAGGCACTCAGAGGACTTTCCCAGGACGAGGACGAGTATGGGGACGAGGATGAGGATGAAGACAAGGACCGGAAGAGGCCTCGGGCACGCCCTCAGATGTGCACTGGGGAACACTGCAGCGCCCCGAGGACTGTCCCTGGAGGGAGCAGAGGCATGGCTGCCTCTGACAGGCAGCTGCAAGGCCCGTGGGAGGCAGGAGGCCAGGGAGCCCTCGAGTGGAGCCAGAGGTACCAGGCTCACTGAGCAGGCATCAAGTGAGGGTGGGGGGGTCGAAGGAGGCCTCAGCCTGCGCGGGCTCCACCTGGTCAGCACTTCGCGGACCTGGGGAGCTGGGAAAGCTGTGTTGTGGCAGCCCAAGCCAGAGGCGGAGGCTGCTTTAGGTCTCAGGCTGTGGAGGAGGAAGACAGGGCCAAGGAAGACTGAGTCCGCACACAGCGGCCACGTGCTTTGGGAGCAGCGCACAGAACCAGTAACACGCGGACCTGCCAGCTCGGGAGCCGTCCCTGGTGGCCCGCAGGTGAGTGGTGACGAAAGTGCGCCCACTCATTGAACACTGTGCAGAGAGGGAGAGGGCGACACTGTGGCCTCTGCCATGCCACAGCCAGAGAGGGTTGGGAGTGACCGGGTGGGCGACTGCTCCCAGGACCCTGCTCCTGCACTGCAATGGAGTTGGGCCTGCACAGGACCCAGGGCTAAGTGGAAACCCGAGCCAGGAGTGCCCGGGCTCTGTACCAGAGTCCAGGGAACCATGCTCGGGGCAATGCAGCATGCTGTCATGGAGTCCCAGGACTCGAGGCCCTGGAGAGGCTCACCGAAGTCGGCTCTGGGAATGTCACAGCATGCGAAGTTTAGGCTCGCAGAGGGCGGCCATCCATGGTCCTGAGGCCCGGCACTTGGTGGTGGGTTTTCCTGGGACCCCCGCAGGCGGCGGTGGGTAGTCGTGGGGCCGGGCAGGCGGCGGTGGGTAGTCCTGGAGCCCGGCACTTGGTGGTTGGTAGTCCTGGGGCCTGGCAGGCGGTGGTGGGTAGTGCTGGTGCCCGGCACGTGGTGGTGGGTAGGCCTGGCGCCCAGCAGGCGGTGGTGGGTTGTCCTGGGGCCCGGCAGGCATCGGTGGGTTATCCTGGGGCCCGGCAGGTGGTGGTCGGTAGTCTTGGAGTCCAGCGGGTGGCATTCGCAGATCCGAAATGAAATATGCTCGGGCGCCGAGCGGGCCTGGAGGCCTGAATGGCACAGGTCCCGGCAAGAACTCGCGAGGATGTAGCGGCAGGTCGTGGCGTCCGGGCAGCATGCCGGGCGCATAGTCTCTTAAGCCCAGTGGTGGGCCCATGCGTGCAACTGGAAAGCAAGAGGGACATGCGGACACGTCCTGAGGAGCAGCCCAGGTCTGCTGAAAGCGTTTCCCTTCCCCTGTGCCAGGAAGTCGAGTGATGCACTGGACATCACAGATAAGGAAAACTGAGGCTCAGTAAGGCTCAACCACAGCCTGACCCTCCCTTCTCCCACTGCCAGCGGCCTGTGGCGTCCCAGGTGACCACCCCGCTGAGACTGGCTTTCGCTCTGCCGAAAGGGCCCTTCTGGTCCAAGCAGCTGTGGAGGCTGCACTGGGCTCAGAGTGCTGGGCCTCGTGCTTCAAGTCAGGCGGGCTGCAGCTGCCAATCAGGACAGGTGAGGTGAGAGGACAGGGTAGGCGGTGGTGCCGGCCCAAGTGTCCTACGGTACCGAATGGTTGCGGTGGCCTAGGAGACATCGGCCGAGGCCCGAAGGATCTGCAGAGCAGTGGTGGCGGCGGCGACCCATAGTCCACGTGGGACGGCATGGGGCCTCCCAGGAACGGGGGCCCTGGATGGGCTGGGGGCCCCTTCACGGCCATGCTCACCTGCGAACAGAAGCAGGCCCAGTTTAGAGCTCGGCAGTGAACCGGGTGCCCGTCCCAAGAGGAGTCAAGGGATCCCGGACCCTGCTGGCCCCTCTGGAGTAGCAAGCCAAGCATCGAGCATGGTCACCACGCTGCCCCACTTGTGTGCAGAGATGAGCTCCAGAGGTGCCAGCGGGGCGCTGCACCAGCTCGCTGCACTCTTGCCAGCATGAGCGTGGCCCTGGGCACGACAGGGGCGGCACAAGGGCTCCCAGGGTCCCGGGGTATCTGGGGAGAACAGGAAGCTGCCTCGGCCAGTTGACACTGCACAGGGAGGGGCTGGCGGAGGCGCCTGTGCCTGGGCTGCTTGGGAGGCAGTCCATGGAGCTCTGACCATTGCAGGCGGCCCCATGCGGTGTGAAGGCTGCCAAGGCATCAGCCTAAGGACCAGGAGGCACAGCAGCCTGGGCCGCCCGGGGTCGGATTCAGGGGGCCCTGGAACTGGCTCCCCACTCCCACAAGAGCCCACGCCCACCTCATCCCCATCATTGCAAGGGGTCTGCCTAGCACAGACCCTGAGGACCCCAACAGCTGCTCCCAAAATTCAAGCGCACGCGAGTGTGGCGATGCATACCGGTCATCCCGCACTCGGGAGGCTGAGGTGGGAGGACTGCTAGGGAACTGCAGGTGGGCTCTGGGTACTGTGAGGTCAAGTCCTGCTTGACCAAACACTCAAGGCAGGGGCGTGAGGTGTGCTGTGCTCCAGCACTCAGCACGCGGCCCGAGCCTTAGTGAAGGCCCAGTCAGATGGTGACCTAGTCAGCGGGGTCATCACGCCCAGGCCAGCTGGAGAACAGAGTGGAAACCGAAGGCACATGGAGCGGCTTGGGCCCAGGCACGGGCTCCAGGCTCACCTTGGCGTTGTCCATGTCCTTCGCTGGGGAGGAGCCGCGGGAGCTGCTGTTGGCCACGGGGCCAGGGCCGGGATCTGGGGGCACAGAAGTCACTCAGAGGACTTTCCCAGGACGAGGACAAGTATGGAGACAAGGATGAGGATGAAGACAAGGACCGGAAGAGGCCTCGGGCACGCCCTCAGATGTGCACTGGGGAACACTGCAGCGCCCCGAGGACTGTCCCTGGAGGGAGCAGAGGCATGGCTGCCTCTGACAGGCAGCTGCAAGGCCCGTGGGAGGCAGGAGGCCAGGGAGCCCTCGAGTGGAGCCAGAGGTACCAGGCTCACTGAGCAGGCATCAAGTGAGGGTGGGGGGGTCGAAGGAGGCCTCAGCCTGCGCGGGCTCCACCTGGTCAGCACTTCGCGGACCTGGGGAGCTGGGAAAGCTGTGTTGTGGCAGCCCAAGCCAGAGGCGGAGGCTGCTTTAGGTCTCAGGCTGTGGAGGAGGAAGACAGGGCCAAGGAAGACTGAGTCCGCACACAGCGGCCACGTGCTTTGGGAGCAGCGCACAGAACCAGTAACACGCGGACCTGCCAGCTCGGGAGCCGTCCCTGGTGGCCCGCAGGTGAGTGGTGACGAAAGTGCGCCCACTCATTGAACACTGTGCAGAGAGGGAGAGGGTGACACTGTGGACTCTGCCATGCCACAGCCAGAGAGGGTTGGGAGTGACCGGGTGGGCGACTGCTCCCAGGACCCTGCTCCTGCACTGCAATGGAGGTGGGCCTGCACAGGACCCAGGGCTAAGTGGAAACCCGAGCCAGGAGTGCCCGGGCTCTGTACCAGAGTCCAGGGAACCATGCTCGGGGCAATGCAGCATGCTGTCATGGAGTCCCAGGACTCGAGGCCCTGGAGAGGCTCACCGAAGTCGGCTCTGGGAATGTCACAGCATGCGAAGTTTAGGCTCGCAGAGGGCGGCCATCCATGGTCCTGAGGCCCGGCACTTGGTGGTGGGTTTTCCTGGGACCCCCGCAGGCGACGGTGGGTAGTCCTGGGGCCTGGCAGGCGGTGGTGGGTAGTGCTGGTGCCCGGCACGTGGTGGTGGGTAGGCCTGGCGCCCAGCAGGCGGTGGTGGGTTGTCCTGGGGCCCGGCAGGCATCGGTGGGTTATCCTGGGGCCCGGCAGGTGGTGGTCGGTAGTCTTGGAGTCCAGCGGGTGGCATTCGCAGATCCGAAATGAAATATGCTCGGGCGCCGAGCGGGCCTGGAGGCCTGAATGGCACAGGTCCAGGCAAGAACTCGCGGGGATGTAGCGGCAGGTCGTGGCGTCCGGGCAGCATGCCGGGCGCATAGTCTCTTAAGCCCAGTGGTGGGCCCATGCGTGCAACTGGAAAGCAAGAGGGACATGCGGACACGTCCTGAGGAGCAGCCCAGGTCTGCTGAAAGGGTTTCCCTTCCCCTGTGCCAGGAAGTCGAGTGATGCACTGGACATCACAGATAAGGAAAACTGAGGCTCAGTAAGGCTCAACCACAGCCTGACCCTCCCTTCTCCCACTGCCAGCGGCCTGTGGCGTCCCAGGTGACCACCCCGCTGAGACTGGCTTTCGCTCTGCCGAAAGGGCCCTTCTGGTCCAAGCAGCTGTGGAGGCTGCACTGGGCTCAGAGTGCTGGGCCTCGTGCTTCAAGTCAGGCGGGCTGCAGCTGCCAATCAGGACAGGTGAGGAGAGAGGACAGGGCAGGCGAGAGGACAGGGTAGGCGGTGGTGCCGGCCCAAGTGTCCTACGGTACCGAATGGTTGCGGTGGCCTAGGAGACATCGGCCGAGGCCCGAAGGATCTGCAGAGCAGTGGTGGCGGCGGCGACCCATAGTCCACGTGGGACGGCATGGGGCCTCCCAGGAACGGGGGCCCTGGATGGGCTGGGGGCCCCTTCACGGCCATGCTCACCTGCGAACAGAAGCAGGCCCAGTTTAGAGCTCGGCAGTGAACCGGTTGCCCGTCCCAAGAGGAGTCAAGGGATCCCGGACCCTACTGGCCCCTCTTGAGTAGCAAGCCAAGCATCGAGCATGGTCACCACGCTGCCCCACTTGTGTGCAGAGATGAGCTCCAGAGGTGCCAGCGGGGCGCTGCACCAGCTCGCTGCACTCTTGCCAGCATGAGCGTGGCCCTGGGCACGACAGGGGCGGCACAAGGGCTCCCAGGGTCCCGGGGTATCTGGGGAGAACAGGAAGCTACCTCGGCCTGTTGACACTGCACAGGGAGGGGCTGGCGGAGGCGCCTGTGCCTGGGCTGCTTGGGAGGCAGTCCATGGAGCTCTGACCATTGCAGGCGGCCCCATGCGGTGTGAAGGCTGCCAAGGCATCAGCCTAAGGACCAGGAGGCACAGCAGCCTGGGCCGCCCGGGGTCGGATTCAGGGGGCCCTGGAACTGGCTCCCCACTCCCACAAGAGCCCACGCCCACCTCATCCCCATCATTGCAAGGGGTCTGCCTAGCACAGACCCTGAGGACCCCAACAGCTGCTCCCAAAATTCAAGCGCACGCGAGTGTGGCGATGCATACCGGTCATCCCGCACTCGGGAGGCTGAGGTGGGAGGACTGCTAGGGAACTGCAGGTGGGCTCTGGGTACTGTGAGGTCAAGTCCTGCTTGACCAAACACTCAAGGCAGGGGCGTGAGGTGTGCTGTGCTCCAGCACTCAGCACGCGGCCCGAGCCTTAGTGAAGGCCCAGTCAGATGGTGACCTAGTCAGCGGGGTCATCACGCCCAGGCCAGCTGGAGAACAGAGTGGAAACCGAAGGCACATGGAGCGGCTTGGGCCCATGCACGGGCTCCAGGCTCACCTTGGCGTTGTCCATGTCCTTCGCTGGGGAGGAGCCGCGGGAGCTGCTGTTGGCCACGGGGCCAGGGCCGGGATCTGGGGGCAGAGAAGGCACTCAGAGGACTTTCCCAGGACGAGGACGAGTATGGGGACGAGGATGAGGATGAAGACAAGGACCGGAAGAGGCCTCGGGCACGCCCTCAGATGTGCACTGGGGAACACTGCAGCGCCCCGAGGACTGTCCCTGGAGGGAGCAGAGGCATGGCTGCCTCTGACAGGCAGCTGCAAGGCCCGTGGGAGGCAGGAGGCCAGGGAGCCCTCGAGTGGAGCCAGAGGTACCAGGCTCACTGAGCAGGCATCAAGTGAGGGTGGGGGGGTCGAAGGAGGCCTCAGCCTGCGCGGGCTCCACCTGGTCAGCACTTCGCGGACCTGGGGAGCTGGGAAAGCTGTGTTGTGGCAGCCCAAGCCAGAGGCGGAGGCTGCTTTAGGTCTCAGGCTGTGGAGGAGGAAGACAGGGCCAAGGAAGACTGAGTCCGCACACAGCGGCCACGTGCTTTGGGAGCAGCGCACAGAACCAGTAACACGCGGACCTGCCAGCTCGGGAGCCGTCCCTGGTGGCCCGCAGGTGAGTGGTGACGAAAGTGCGCCCACTCATTGAACACTGTGCAGAGAGGGAGAGGGCGACACTGTGGCCTCTGCCATGCCACAGCCAGAGAGGGTTGGGAGTGACCGGGTGGGCGACTGCTCCCAGGACCCTGCTCCTGCACTGCAATGGAGTTGGGCCTGCACAGGACCCAGGGCTAAGTGGAAACCCGAGCCAGGAGTGCCCGGGCTCTGTACCAGAGTCCAGGGAACCATGCTCGGGGCAATGCAGCATGCTGTCATGGAGTCCCAGGACTCGAGGCCCTGGAGAGGCTCACCGAAGTCGGCTCTGGGAATGTCACAGCATGCGAAGTTTAGGCTCGCAGAGGGCGGCCATCCATGGTCCTGAGGCCCGGCACTTGGTGGTGGGTTTTCCTGGGACCCCCGCAGGCGGCGGTGGGTAGTCGTGGGGCCGGGCAGGCGGCGGTGGGTAGTCCTGGAGCCCGGCACTTGGTGGTTGGTAGTCCTGGGGCCTGGCAGGCGGTGGTGGGTAGTGCTGGTGCCCGGCACGTGGTGGTGGGTAGGCCTGGCGCCCAGCAGGCGGTGGTGGGTTGTCCTGGGGCCCGGCAGGCATCGGTGGGTTATCCTGGGGCCCGGCAGGTGGTGGTCGGTAGTCTTGGAGTCCAGCGGGTGGCATTCGCAGATCCGAAATGAAATATGCTCGGGCGCCGAGCGGGCCTGGAGGCCTGAATGGCACAGGTCCCGGCAAGAACTCGCGAGGATGTAGCGGCAGGTCGTGGCGTCCGGGCAGCATGCCGGGCGCATAGTCTCTTAAGCCCAGTGGTGGGCCCATGCGTGCAACTGGAAAGCAAGAGGGACATGCGGACACGTCCTGAGGAGCAGCCCAGGTCTGCTGAAAGCGTTTCCCTTCCCCTGTGCCAGGAAGTCGAGTGATGCACTGGACATCACAGATAAGGAAAACTGAGGCTCAGTAAGGCTCAACCACAGCCTGACCCTCCCTTCTCCCACTGCCAGCGGCCTGTGGCGTCCCAGGTGACCACCCCGCTGAGACTGGCTTTCGCTCTGCCGAAAGGGCCCTTCTGGTCCAAGCAGCTGTGGAGGCTGCACTGGGCTCAGAGTGCTGGGCCTCGTGCTTCAAGTCAGGCGGGCTGCAGCTGCCAATCAGGACAGGTGAGGTGAGAGGACAGGGTAGGCGGTGGTGCCGGCCCAAGTGTCCTACGGTACCGAATGGTTGCGGTGGCCTAGGAGACATCGGCCGAGGCCCGAAGGATCTGCAGAGCAGTGGTGGCGGCGGCGACCCATAGTCCACGTGGGACGGCATGGGGCCTCCCAGGAACGGGGGCCCTGGATGGGCTGGGGGCCCCTTCACGGCCATGCTCACCTGCGAACAGAAGCAGGCCCAGTTTAGAGCTCGGCAGTGAACCGGTTGCCCGTCCCAAGAGGAGTCAAGGGATCCCGGACCCTACTGGCCCCTCTTGAGTAGCAAGCCAAGCATCGAGCATGGTCACCACGCTGCCCCACTTGTGTGCAGAGATGAGCTCCAGAGGTGCCAGCGGGGCGCTGCACCAGCTCGCTGCACTCTTGCCAGCATGAGCGTGGCCCTGGGCACGACAGGGGCGGCACAAGGGCTCCCAGGGTCCCGGGGTATCTGGGGAGAACAGGAAGCTACCTCGGCCTGTTGACACTGCACAGGGAGGGGCTGGCGGAGGCGCCTGTGCCTGGGCTGCTTGGGAGGCAGTCCATGGAGCTCTGACCATTGCAGGCGGCCCCATGCGGTGTGAAGGCTGCCAAGGCATCAGCCTAAGGACCAGGAGGCACAGCAGCCTGGGCCGCCCGGGGTCGGATTCAGGGGGCCCTGGAACTGGCTCCCCACTCCCACAAGAGCCCACGCCCACCTCATCCCCATCATTGCAAGGGGTCTGCCTAGCACAGACCCTGAGGACCCCAACAGCTGCTCCCAAAATTCAAGCGCACGCGAGTGTGGCGATGCATACCGGTCATCCCGCACTCGGGAGGCTGAGGTGGGAGGACTGCTAGGGAACTGCAGGTGGGCTCTGGGTACTGTGAGGTCAAGTCCTGCTTGACCAAACACTCAAGGCAGGGGCGTGAGGTGTGCTGTGCTCCAGCACTCAGCACGCGGCCCGAGCCTTAGTGAAGGCCCAGTCAGATGGTGACCTAGTCAGCGGGGTCATCACGCCCAGGCCAGCTGGAGAACAGAGTGGAAACCGAAGGCACATGGAGCGGCTTGGGCCCATGCACGGGCTCCAGGCTCACCTTGGCGTTGTCCATGTCCTTCGCTGGGGAGGAGCCTCGGGAGCTGCTGTTGGCCACGGGGCCAGGGCCGGGATCTGGGGGCAGAGAAGGCACTCAGAGGACTTTCCCAGGACGAGGACGAGTATGGGGACGAGGATGAGGATGAAGACAAGGACCGGAAGAGGCCTCGGGCACGCCCTCAGATGTGCACTGGGGAACACTGCAGCGCCCCGAGGACTGTCCCTGGAGGGAGCAGAGGCATGGCTGCCTCTGACAGGCAGCTGCAAGGCCCGTGGGAGGCAGGAGGCCAGGGAGCCCTCGAGTGGAGCCAGAGGTACCAGGCTCACTGAGCAGGCATCAAGTGAGGGTGGGGGGGTCGAAGGAGGCCTCAGCCTGCGCGGGCTCCACCTGGTCAGCACTTCGCGGACCTGGGGAGCTGGGAAAGCTGTGTTGTGGCAGCCCAAGCCAGAGGCGGAGGCTGCTTTAGGTCTCAGGCTGTGGAGGAGGAAGACAGGGCCAAGGAAGACTGAGTCCGCACACAGCGGCCACGTGCTTTGGGAGCAGCGCACAGAACCAGTAACACGCGGACCTGCCAGCTCGGGAGCCGTCCCTGGTGGCCCGCAGGTGAGTGGTGACGAAAGTGCGCCCACTCATTGAACACTGTGCAGAGAGGGAGAGGGCGACACTGTGGCCTCTGCCATGCCACAGCCAGAGAGGGTTGGGAGTGACCGGGTGGGCGACTGCTCCCAGGACCCTGCTCCTGCACTGCAATGGAGTTGGGCCTGCACAGGACCCAGGGCTAAGTGGAAACCCGAGCCAGGAGTGCCCGGGCTCTGTACCAGAGTCCAGGGAACCATGCTCGGGGCAATGCAGCATGCTGTCATGGAGTCCCAGGACTCGAGGCCCTGGAGAGGCTCACCGAAGTCGGCTCTGGGAATGTCACAGCATGCGAAGTTTAGGCTCGCAGAGGGCGGCCATCCATGGTCCTGAGGCCCGGCACTTGGTGGTGGGTTTTCCTGGGACCCCCGCAGGCGGCGGTGGGTAGTCGTGGGGCCGGGCAGGCGGCGGTGGGTAGTCCGGGAGCCCGGCACTTGGTGGTTGGTAGTCCTGGGGCCTGGCAGGCGGTGGTGGGTAGTGCTGGTGCCCGGCACGTGGTGGTGGGTAGGCCTGGCGCCCAGCAGGCGGTGGTGGGTAGTCCTGGGGCCCGGCAGGCGTCAGTGGGTTGTCCTGGGGCCCGGCAGGCATCTGTGGGTTATCCTGGGGCCCGGCAGGTGGTGGTCGGTAGTCTTGGAGTCCAGCAGGTGGCATTCGCAGATCCGAAATGAAATATGCTCGGGCGCCGAGCGGGCCTGGAGGCCTGAATGGCACAGGTCTCGGCAAGAACTCGCGGGGATGTAGCGGCAGGTCGTGGCGTCCGGGCAGCATGCCGGGCGCATAGTCTCTTAAGCCCAGTGGTGGGCCCATGCGTGCAACTGGAAAGCAAGAGGGACATGCGGACACGTCCTGAGGAGCAGCCCAGGTCTGCTGAAAGCGTTTCCCTTCCCCTGTGCCAGGAAGTCGAGTGATGCACTGGACATCACAGATAAGGAAAACTGAGGCTCAGTAAGGCTCAACCACAGCCTGACCCTCCCTTCTCCCACTGCCGGCGGCCTGTGGCGTCCCAGGTGACCACCCCGCTGAGACTGGCTTTCGCTCTGCCGAAAGGGCCCTTCTGGTCCAAGCAGCTGTGGAGGCTGCACTGGGCTCAGAGTGCTGGGCCTCGTGCTTCAAGTCAGGCGGGCTGCAGCTGCCAATCAGGACAGGTGAGGAGAGAGGACAGGGTAGGCGAGAGGACAGGGTAGGCGGTGGTGCCGGCCCAAGTGTCCTACGGTACCGAATGGTTGCGGTGGCCTAGGAGACATCGGCCGAGGCCCGAAGGATCTGCAGAGCAGTGGTGGCGGCGGCGACCCATAGTCCACGTGGGACGGCATGGGGCCTCCCAGGAACGGGGGCCCTGGATGGGCTGGGGGCCCCTTCACGGCCATGCTCACCTGCGAACAGAAGCAGGCCCAGTTTAGAGCTCGGCAGTGAACCGGGTGCCCGTCCCAAGAGGAGTCAAGGGATCCCGGACCCTGCTGGCCCCTCTTGAGTAGCAAGCCAAGCATCGAGCATGGTCACCACGCTGCCCCACTTGTGTGCAGAGATGAGCTCCAGAGGTGCCAGCGGGGCGCTGCACCAGCTCGCTGCACTCTTGCCAGCATGAGCGTGGCCCTGGGCACGACAGGGGCGACACAAGGGCTCCCAGGGTCCCGGGGTATCTGGGGAGAACAGGAAGCTGCCTCGGCCAGTTGACACTGCACAGGGAGGGGCTGGCGGAGGCGCCTGCGCCTGGGCTGCTTGGGAGGCAGTCCATGGAGCTCTGACCATTGCAGGCGGCCCCATGCGGTGTGAAGGCTGCCAAGGCATCAGCCTAAGGACCAGGAGGCACAGCAGCCTGGGCCGCCCGGGGTCGGATTCAGGGGGCCCTGGAACTGGCTCCCAACTCCCACAAGAGCCCACGCCCACCTCATCCCGATCATTGCAAGGTGTCTGCCTAGCACAGGCCCTGAGGACCCCAACAGCTGCTCCCAAAAATCAAGCCCACGCGAGTATGGCGATGCACACCGGTCATCCCGCACTTCATCATACAGAAACATTTCATAACGTGATGAGTGCAGTGTGAACCTCAGTTTCCTGATTTTTCATTGAATGCCTAGAGATTATGAGTTGAAAACTTGTCAATTTCCTTAACTGTCCTTGAATTATATTCTCAAAATAATCTGGCTAAGGCTACCTTCCCCATAAAGATTTTTCCCTCAGGGGCTGGGGATTTAGCTCAGAGGCATAAGCACCTGCCTTGCAAGCGGGTGGTCCTAACTTTGATCCCCGGTACTGATAAAAAAAAAAGGTTTTCCCCTCAAATTATAGCCATAAGAAGTGACTCAAAATGCTGCCCCCAGTCTGTCGGAGCACTGAGACTCTGGTGGGTGTAGACGTGTGACAGAAGCAGGCCGATTTCCTAAAAATGGGCACAGGACACATCTGCAAAGGAGCTTCGCTGTTAACAAGCCTTGGTCTGTTAATGTAGAACCCCTCCCCGTGTGAGTTAAATACATTCCATTTTGGACTTCTCATGTGCTTCTGTGCCCATCTCTTCTATGTAACAAAGCAACTCAGCCCAGTTCCTCTGTCTCGGACGCCACACTCACTTGTAGATTTTCACCGCCTCTGTGGCCGGCACCACCTTCTCATCCACAGCCGACAGCGCCTGCTCTGGCTGCTGCTGTGCACATTCCACCTGACTCGGTATCCTAGGAGAAAGGCAGCTGCCAGGGCTGAACTCGGCCCACAGGCCACTTCCCCACCCAGCAGCAGACACAGGGTTTCAGGAGGGCAGTCAAGCTCCAGGCTCTGGGCCATTTGCTTGTGTTCTTATATTCTCTCACCTCTCGTTGTAATTGTCTAATCGGCAAACAGAACAAGCTAAGAGCAAGCATGCGCCAGGCTCTAGCTGCCTGTGTGGGAGATGAGTGTACCCCGAGGGAAGCCAGGATTGTCCAGCAGAGCTGCTGGGAAAGCAATAGGCGGAGTCCACCTCCCCCGCTTCCCCCATACTGTCAGGGAAGAGCTGTTCCTCTAGACCTAGGCCATGATAAGCACACAAGATAGGCCGAATGGGTGGACGGGAGCCTTGGCCCCAGCCAGAAAGCAAAATGTGGTCCCCAGAGGCCAGTGCTGCCCTCCCTCAACCCACACATGGAGAACAATGCCAAAGATGCTGAACTGAGCCCTCGACAAATCCCTAGGCTTCAAGAAACAAGCAGTGGAGCTGAGGCTACAGAGGCAGGGACGCTGGGCCCAACTGCTAGCTGGATGAAGGTGACGGCAGACAGGCAGGAGCAGCCTCAGGTCGCCATCACAGGAAACCAGCAGCACCCTGGGCCCCAAGTTTCCTCTATGATCACTGCACATCGAAGCTGCTAGGCAATCAGAAGTGACAGGAATGGCCAGCATGAGACACTGGGCAAAATCTCTGGGACTCACTTCTGCAGCTCCAGCTCCTTCTGTTGGGACAGCTCCTTCAGGACCTCCACCTTCTGCTGCAGCATGCTAAACTCCTCCTCCAGCCGGGCCTTGTCCACCTGCAGCCTGCCGAGGTCCTCACCTAGCTTCACGATCTGGTCTGGGAGGTGAGACACGTCACCAAGGGCACTGCCAAAGACACAGAACCAGGCTCCCAGCATCCCTGCCTCATTCATGCCGGCACTCAGCCTGACCACCATGCGGTCAGGGACCTACCTTCCAGATCACATCTGGCAGACAGGGAGGCTCTCAGCTTCGACTGCAGGAGTTGGAGATCTTTCTGAAATACGGATATTGCGGGATGTGTCTGAAAATTGTGAGGGAGGGGCACAGGCTTGAAAGTAAGGCTGAGTCAGGACTCAAGGGCCCCGGGGGGGGGGGGCTCTGTGAAGGGACTCACCCGGGAGACATCCATCAGCTGGTGCATGTGAGCCTTCTTATTTTCCCCACCTACAAAGAGAACAAGTGTGGCTGTGTCTTCCTGTGCCGTTTCTAACACTGTGGTCTTGACTTCCACAAAACTAAACTAATGCTCATGAAACACTGTAAAGAAAAACAATTCACCAACAGAACTGACACACTGACTTTCATGACAACTGCACCCTTAGATTTTGTGAGCTCCTGCCAAGACAGCATGCCACATGGTCTAGGGGGAGCTGGCCGACGTGGGTCCAGACTCGCACTCTGAGCACCCTCTGCAGCTGGGGCGGCACCGTGACCAATTTCCTCATCTCAGACCCTGCTGCTCTCCAGCCTCTGCCCTGACAGCCTGCGCTGTGGTTCCACATCCCGACACTCTAGGTGACCCTGGCCAAGTGCCTGAGAACCACAGAACAGCAGAGGCCGTGAGTACGGACCCGTGTGTCATCTCCAGAAAGCTGAGTGAGTGTCTTCTCTGGCACAGAGGCCGACACAAAGACAAAGGCTCCAGCGTACACATCCAGTTCTCAGGGGTGGAAAAGCAGCTTTCCCCACTTGCCTGCTGCTACTGCACCCCAGTGACCCAGACATAAGTACGAATTATTCAGATGTTGGGAGCCATTGAAGCTGGAAACCGACCACACATGCAGGGCCAGGGCATGGCTGGCCCAAGAACAAAGAGTCCCTGGGGTTGCCATGTGAAGAAGCTGCCTCAGCCCAGAGATGACCAAGCCCCAAGACAATCTGAACAGTGGGCTGCTAGGACAACAGTGTGTCACATGACATTAAGTTGCTAAAACTTATAAACGCCCCTGCAGTGAGGGGCCAGTTCCTTTCTTCCCATGAGGAGGGTAAGGGCTCCACCTGACCCCAGATTGGTCTGTCTATTTTCCCATCCTCTTGTGGTCCTTCACACTAAGAACCTAAAGAGCTGCATGGGTCAGTCGGGGCAAGAAGAAACTCAGCTGAGAAGCAGTATCCATGTATGGAATTAAAGACAAAAATGCTTAGGAGACTGAGGTAGAAATTTTGCTGTGGGTTTGAGGCCAGTGTGGGCTACACAGTGAGATCAAGGCCAGCCACTACATAGAGACCTTGTCTAAAATAACAATAAAGAGAAGAAGACAAAAAAGGGCCCTTGAAGGGCTGGGGATTTAGCTCAGTGGCACAAGCACCTGCCTGGTGAGTGCATGGTCATGAGTTAGATCCCTGGTTTAAAAAAAAAAAGGGCCCTTGGGCTAGGGCTGGTCTTACCTCCCACTTCTCCTTTGGCTAATTCACCTGGCTCACATCTGCCTGGACCTGGACCCTCAGATTCCGATCCCCTCTCCTCCAACCGGTTCAGCTGCATGATGCAGTTGTTCAGAGCCTAGCAGAGAAGGGAGCAGCAGTTAATCGCCTCTCCATCCTCACAGTGGGTTTGTTTTCCAAGTGTTCATGATCAGGCTGGGCCGGCTGGGGTAACTTACACCAATGCTATCATCCTTATCATGGAGAGTGGCTTCCAGATCCCTCTGAGACTTTTCCAACGACCTGATTCGCTGGCTGAGTTTAGCGTTCAGCTTCTTCTGGTCTTCAACTTCCTGCTGTAGCTGAAAGTCACATGGAAGGGTCCCTGCGGACTGGGGATTCCACAGAGGCACAGGACCATGCAAGTGGGATGGGGAAGCAGGAGTCCTGTCCCTCCTTGTCCCATCGCAGAGGCTAAGACTTGGTTCAGGACTGCAGAGTGTGACTTCCACCCTGAGCTGTCAATGAAGCTGACCCCATCCATCAAGTCCTTCTGAAAAATGCCTGCTGACTCAAATGCCTGACTTCCAGGTGGCACCCGTGGGCATGTATTGCTGGGGCTTAACATATTCCCACTGGCATGAACCGCTGCAGGGCATGCAGGACTGTCCTTACCACCTAATGGGACTATCCTGTGTATCCCCCTAGCAGGAACATAACCCATTCACATGGGAACTGCCGGCAGCTAGTTGTGGGATTTCTGGCCTCAGTGTGTGTGTGTTGATCACAGATCCCTGATCTAACCTTCCTATGGCCAATGTGAGGCAGTAACTGTTAGAGGAGGCTTAGCAAAGCCTTAAATCTGAGGTTTAAAAAGCCAACCCATGGCCTTGCTGAGGCCAAAGTAATGACTAGTATCTAACAAGACAAGGGCCAAGAACTGCCATCAATTTACAAAATTGAAAATCCATGAGAAACACAAAAGGAGCCTGTGCCCTCAGTAATGTGCAAGCTGAGGAGGACAGACTCGATGCTCCCCAGCTTGCTACAGGGGCCTGCATAAGCAGCTCCTCATGAGAAAAGATGACAGAGCTAAAGTCGCTGGGTTTTGCACCCACTCTGACCAAACATTTACAAAATCTGCACTTTCTTCTTCTTCAGCCTTGTGTTTTCTTCCTGAACCTGATGGCACTCAGACTTCACCTTCTCCTCACTCAACTTGCCTTCATTCAGGGCGACCTGAACCTAACGCACAACACGACTGTTCACGAGCCGCGCCAGGGAGGGGCCCCACGCCCTGCCCCTCAATCATGCACGGCCTCTGCCTTCCACGGCTCTCAGCACTCATCAGGTCACCACTGCTCCATGCAGCTGAGTCTCGACACTGACACCGGCAGGGAGTGTGGGCAGCCTTACCTTGGAAAATTCTGAGGCATTCATTGAAATAACCTCCTTTAGCTTCTCCACAGATTTCTCATTTTCCAGGACCTGCCACGGAAGCAAGGAACACACAGAACGCATTAGGACTGTGGGAGAAACACTGATACATATGCTAAAGAACAAAAACATTACTACAAGGTACCCCAAACTATCCACTATGTTTTAGGTAAAATCGGGATTAAACGTGGTCTGGGGAAATAAATCTGCTTAAAGAGCTGAGAGAAAAAACTGAATTCAAGAGTTTCATGGCACCCTCAAGCTTTGGGGTAACCACATGACATAGAATAAAGAAATGTTCAAGCAAACCATGGAAAATGAACAGCTTTTTCTGGTGTCAGGAAAACAAGCCCCAAAAGGTCTGGAGATTTAGCTCAGCAGCATTAAATGCCTGCCCGCCAAGCACTGGGTCATGAGTTCGATCCCTGGCACCAAAAAAAAAAAAACAAAAAAAAAAAAAAAAAAAAAAACCAGCTCCAAGATCACTTTAAACATGTTCTTGTCTGAATTAAAAATGGTAAGAATGCTGGGTATGGTGGAGGACGCCTGTAATCCCAGCACTCAGGAAGCTGAGGCAGGAGAGTTTAAGGCCAGCCTAGGCTACAAGGTGAGTTCACAGCCAGCCTGAACTGCATAACAGAACCCAGTCTCAAAAAGACAAAACCAAAATAAAACAATAGAAAAAAAAGTGTTTCTGGGGGAATAGAAAAATCTCATGTGCCAAATTTCTCAATATTTATGACAATACTGGCTCAAGGGGTGACCCTAACCCACCGTTCTTTTAACTGCAGGTTGTATGTCATAACTTCCTGCCAAACAGCATGGTGCACAAAGGACTGAAAATGGGCAATTCACCAGGTGTGTGCTGAGCAAAGGACCAGGCCACACAGGAGGTGGGAAGTGTGAGAACTCTCCTCACTACATTTCCGCTTAGGGGATTTGCAGACTATTCGAAAGGCACAGAGTTCACTGTGAAATAAAACCAGTTTACACAGAGTACTCAACTGGACCAATTTTTTAGCCACTGTGTGTTCTGGAGGACACAACTATGAAATTATCCAAGATTCAGGATCAAAACACTTCCCGTGCCTATAAAAACATTCTACTGAATTAGTACTAAAAATCCCACAAAATGGGTACAGGCATGCTCGCTTCTGTTATTCCTAGTCTCATGGAGTTAACAGCATGGGAACAGCTCAACTGATTTACGAAATACCTAATAATACATCTGTAGTAACACGCAGCAGCAGAACTCACCAAATCCTGATTTTTCATGTTGCGTTTCCGCTCACATTCTAACATATCACCAAGAGTTCTGGCCATATCATCCAGAAATTCCTTGCTTTCTTCAAGCACCTTGATTTTATCCAGAAGAAAAGAGATTAAAAGTAACAGTATGCATTAATGCTTGCTTTTGTTTTTAGACTATAATCCCCAAAAGAGAAGGACTTTTACCTTGTATTTAATTGCTTCCTCAGAGAGAATCCTATTCTGATTCTTGGTCTCCTGAAGAAGCCTCTGCGATTGATTGATCTATGTAAAAAACACATTCAGAACTAAGTAACAGAAGTCACTGTGCTAGTAAAACCTTGTTCCAAAGAAGCAAGCAGAGCGTTCCCTTTACACATGATGGTGCATAAGATCTGGAGGGCTCAGAGGAAATGATGAAGCGAGAACACAGGCCTTCAAAATACCGTAATAACTGAGCTACACCACAGACAAGCTAGAGGAGGGCCCGTGAGAGGTTCTACCTTCTGTTCATAACTTGACAATTTTTCTGCAAGTTGTGCATTGTCCTTTGTGGTAGTCTTCACCTTTTCGGCAATCTGCTGTTCAGTGACTAAAAAGAGGAAATAGCCAGGTTATTAGGAGCATTAAATGGAACTGAGCTGCACAGTGTCTCAGCAGCAAGGACACCTGTGAGGCTCTGTGAGAGACAGGGCTTAGCACAGCTACCTGCCTGTCCAGAGAGACCCGAAGCTAACAGCAACAGTGCACAGGACACTGTTAAACTTTAAGAAAACTATAGTAATACTTGTTTTGAGGAGATACCAATTACTGCAAAGGCAGGAGATACAGTAAAATGTTACACAGTTGGAGAGGCTTCTTTCACAAAAGGCACTTGTTCTCTGAAAACGGATCACTTCAAATGAATGTCATTTGCTACGAGAAAAAGAAACTTTAGGCTACAGATCTACACTGCTGTCTCTTGAGCTCCTGTGCCGATAAACCTATAGGGGCCAAGGTGTCCCTAGCACAGACACACTGTCCTCTCTCCACACCTGTGTGGTCCAGCCACGCTCTGTCTGCTCCAAGTAAGCAGTCACCCCTGCACCACATCTCCTAGCTCAGCCGGTACCATCACCCTCCCCACTATACTATGGTTAGTAGCAACAGTAAAATGTGGAGCAGTTAGTGAGTCAAATCAGACACCAAAGTCACTGTCGCTCCTAGCCTGCCTAAAAGTCCTCCCAAACACCAACAGGAAGAGATTTACCTTGGTATATTCTCTCCTTTACCTAGAAGAAAAAGAGAGAAATTTGATGTCAAACATTTGATTAAAAGGAATGCATAGTTCCTAACACAAGTCAGGATCATAACCAAGTGAAAATTTAGTAACCTTAGTTCAGAATAAACCCATACAATTAAAAACGTATTATAAATAGCCTCTGATACAGAGGAAGAGTAAGGAGCGTGTCTTACTTCACAGCTACACATAGGCTTGTGTGCCAGGACCAAGTGAACACCAGGCTTCTGAGATGAGCATTTGGCTTCAACAGTGAAATGCTTGTTTTTATAATACACACATTATTGATTTACTTACTCAAAATTACTTGACAATCCCAAAGGCAAGCATGCAGTCTAGAAATGGGTGACCATATGGAAGACTGGAAAGCGAGATTACCAGCATAACCTTTGCACTAAGATACGCCTCTCTCACCCACTGGAAGATACCTCAGAAACCCTATTTCAAGTGATCTATTGACTCAATTAAGAAATAATCTAATACACCTCATCATCTTTTCCCCAGACCACAAAAACAGTAATAAATCTAAGCAGAAGGGAAGACACCAGAAGAACACAGAGAAATGACAGCTAACGGCTTCCAGGAAGAGCACAGACCCAGTTCTTCCTCCCGGTGCCTTCTGGGGTCATAAATCCTAAACTGCAACTAATTAAATACCACAGCAGCGATCACTGCACTTCTCTGTAACGCAGACTCTGTCTTCTCGTTCCGAGTGCTATAAACAGTATAGGACAGCAGAGCGCAGTGGCCAGCTGAGGGGCGTGGGGGGGAGGGCGACTGTGCTCTCCAGGATCAGGAGTGGCACCTCAGAGCCATGTGACCTCAGGGAGTGGGAGGAAGTGAGCCCAGGGGCAGGGTGTGAAGCTGCAGGGCTGAGCCTGAGAGCCCTGCTGGGTAGCAGCTGCAGGGGAACCAAAGGAGAGGAGCAGGGGAAACAGCACCTTTTCACCCCCAAACACTCTGCGTACCCTTCCAGGCGTGCTTGCATCCAAGAAGCTATTCAGTGAGATTCCAGAAGTCCTCACAGGAATCTTTCATACGGTGCTATTTTGGGTTTGTTTTTTGGTGGAACCTGGGACAGGGCCTTCACAATGAACTACATTCTCAGCCTTCCCATTTTTCTTGAGACAGGCTCTTGCTAAGTGACCAAGTTGCCCAGGCTGGGCTCAAACTTGCACTTCTCCTGTCTCAGCCTCCCTCTCCTCCAGGGCTGCAGGAATACACACACCACTCTGCCTGATCTTGCCTGGACCTTTTTACCATCTTACTGTATTTCTTGCCCTGTATGTTTCTACAGCACAGTTCATCAGTACCTCACGGTCTGTTTCCCCTTATCCCACTTCACATTAAATCGTGAACACCTTCTTTGCCCCCTGCCTTTGAAATACATACAGCAGCCTAATATTCTGTTCTGTGGATATAAATAAGGTGAAACGTGATATTCCCTAATATAGATCATTTAGGTTTCACCAAGTTATTACTCTATTAAATACTACATCTAATACCTTTGTATAAAATCTTAACATGTAATTTCTTTAAGATCACTTACTGATGTTATTATACCATATAAAAGCAATTTATATTTCTTATGCTGTTTTGTATCCCATTTTAAAGGCTTATGATATATAGAATTATTAAACTGGTTTTCAGGATGGCTATACGAGTCACCAACTCTACTAACAAGTGGATATGGTTAGCTTGCTCTTAAGTCTTTGCCAGTACCAAGATTAAATTATTTCAGAAAACTAACTTGAATTAGAACCACTGATTTGTTTATGTTAATAACTGAAAGGGCCAATGATAATAGAATCCTCAATATATACAGAAGTCAAAGAACAAGTTAATTCACTCACTGGAAAAACATTCCTCCACAAGAAAATCGCAAGCATAAGGATTCCAACACAGGTAGTGAGCAATACAGGCTCCCAGGGGAGCCCATATAAGTCTCCAGGCCCGGGCTGGAGATTCTCAGGTAACACTGCAACCAGCTGAAAAGGAAGGCCACAAATAACGGAAACCCGTTAACAGAACTGGCGGAGCAATCACAAAGGATCATCACAGATACTCTCGATCTACTCTCCATAGTCTAAACCAACTTCCAGGTGCCCTGTAGAAACGTCTGGAAAGGGGGTACAGTCAGGCTCACATTCTTGTCCCATATGTGGAGTCTCTAAATTTAGGGAGTGAGTTGAGCCTATTTCCCAGTTGGCCAACAGCCCTTCTTCATCGCAGTGTCTCACGCATGGCCCAGATCACGCTTAGGTGAGCTGTTTTCTATTACTGCACACGCGCGCGCGCGCGCGCACACACACACACACACACACACACAAACACACACCCCACATTGTAAATACATGATAGAAGCCATCGGTTTGTGTGTCTGCAAGCAAAAGCACTATGACAATGATCGCCACAAATCAGGCATCACTCCTCCAGGAGGCTGCGTCTCAATTCGGTGCACCCTCAGGAAACAATCCTTGCAAGGAAAACAGGTGGGGCGTGAACGTGGCTCCCAAGGCGATGGCTGGCTTCAGACCATGCCGCTCCCTCAGGACAGCCCGGCCCTCTGCAGTCCACACCACGCTCCTGCCATCGGGTACCTTCCGAAGGGACCGTCCCACCAGCAGGCGACCAGCGCCCCTTGCCCAACCCTGGTTCCCCCGCCTCACCTTCAGTAGCAGGGCTACAAAGGCCGAGTACAGCTTTAACAGGCGCTTCAGCAGCTCGGGGGTGCCCGGGGACACGAAGACCACGGCTACAGTGGCTGATACCGTGTCCATAGCAAAGGACCGCTCGCTGCGGACCCGGCCGAACCGGGCAGGACCGGGCAGGACCTGGCCCGACCGGGCCGGACCGGCAGTGGCAAAGAAGTCTTTCCCAGTGGCAGTGGCAGCAGAGGGCGGAACTGCACAGCTACACCTTCGGCTTCGTGCTGCTCTATGAACCATAAACATAGGTAACAGAGGGTCTCCAGGACGACCACAAAGGGGCAGGGCTTCACTGAGGGGGCGGGGCGAAAGCTGGACACCGCGCGGGGGCGGGGCGGGAGCGTCCAATGAAGGAGGCCTGCGGGCGGAGCGCCCAATGAGGGCGGCCGGGGGCGGGGTCCCGTGGCCACAGAGCAAGGCTGGCCAATAGCCGCTCTAGGGCACCAAGCTCAGGTGCCTTCACCGCTGGAGCTGGGCACCAGGCCTTGCAAGTGCCGCTACGTGGCTGCTGGCCTGGCTGGCACCTTCGCCCAGGTGGGGTGGGGCCACGCGTCAAAGTTCAGGGTGCAGACCCCTGGCGCGGCAGCTCACCTCAGAGCCAGGCCCCTGTCGCAGGTGGCTGGCATTGTAGTTGAGGGAGCCTTCCGTCCTTATTCACAATGTGGATTAAAAGGATCAGCAACTGATGGCAGAAACAAACGACTGTATCAAAAAAGTGTTGGGTGATTTTTTTCTATGTATTCAACAGGTCTTTCCTGATTATGTCTCAAAAATCAAGAAGCAAAAAGGGAAAAGAGTGTAAATCTGATTACTTAACGCAAAACAGAAAGAAAACGTGGAAAGGAAAGTTTGTAAATGGATAAGGGGAGGAACGTTGAAGGGAGGGTAGGGGAATGGGAAAGTAAACAGTACCATGTAGAGGTACAAATCCTCTATGATGATCATTAGGTATGTCCCAAATGTACCAATAAATGTAACTGAAGTGAAAACACACAACGCTTGTTCAGCCCCTGCCTAAAGAAACAAAACACATGGAGAATAAGCTAGTGAGGCTCAGAAAATATGTGTAAGTAGCTGTGCCACGGGAACAAGGCTGCATGGCTCCTAACTGCACAAAAGCTTGCTGAGGTGGCTGGCCAGAGCCCTGAACTGAACAGCACTGGGGAGAGATGGGGTGGGGCGCTCTCCCAAGGTGCCTCGCTGTATGGAATGACAAGAGCCCTAAATGACCGCTGCCAACCATTTAAAGAGATTATGTCAAATTAAATTTGCAAGGGTTTTGGCCCAGACAGGACTCTAGCCAGAAAAGCCTCAACAGGAACCAGGAAGCTCCTATCTCCCCCACCCCTAGGAATTTACCGTGATGTCATCTTCCCCACCCCTGGGAATTTACCTATGGCGCCAAACCTAGGACCAGGGATTTGGCTCAGCGGCTCAAGCACTTGCCTGGCAAGTACAAGGTCATGAGTTCAATTCCAGGCACCAAAAAATGAACAAAAAAAATGAACACTAGTGGTCTTGCCTGCCCCTGACAACCATGAAAGCCTTTTATAGGCACTACTGCAGACCCCCTCCACAAGCCCATACAGGTCACTCCTGAGTCTCCATCACCCTATTCTCCCTTTGTGGATCAAGTCCTGATGCTCAGGTTCCTTTAAAATCACCCCAGGAGTCCAAAGGTCATATCACCAAGGTCGTCAAGACTGGATCCTGGGATTCTCCACTGGCTTTGACATTTGGATAGCCTCAACCCACTGAGGACTCCACGCTGAATTCATAAATGACAGAGAAAAAAAAAACACAAGACTTTCCACCAGACAGCCTGGCCTTCCACAGTGGCCTGTGCCAGAGTCAGGTGCTGGGTGTTATTTTGTGAGAGTAGTATCTAAGCCAACACTTGACACGGGGCAGGTAGGTACTCAACAATAATCTCCACATGAATCATCTACTCCATCCTGTCCTCAGACAACAAGACCTGTTTAAAGGAGTGGTTTTTTCCCCCACTGGCAAATAATAACTTTAAAAGCATGAAAAAGAGAAAGTCACTTAGCTCAACCCATCTAGAAACAAAGGAGGTTTGGTATTATTAGGACACTTCCTTCCAGTTATTTTCTAGGCATGTTTTTTAAACCTTTGGAATTAGATGGTAGGCACACTGTAACTTTTACCAGAAACATAGTCCCTGATTATCTTTTAATTTGCTCCTAAATATTATTTTGCATAACTTCATAAACCTCCATTCTAAAGACACATCCCCTGGAATTGACCTATCCACTATCTCCAGCCCACACCAGTGGAAATATAGGTTGCTACCAATTTTTTACTAGAGTTTTTAAAAAATCTGAATGATGGGTGCATGAAAATATCATCTATATTTCATGTTTTGTCTCAGCTACATCCCCAGAAGAATAATTATCTGATTAGACTATTTGGCCATCTTGAGATTTCGGCTCAAATCTGTAAAACTGAACCACACTTTATATTTATTTTTTACAGAAATGAGGGAAGGGGCTGTGAGCTACAACCCTAGTTAGCCCCATTTGTTTATTTATTTAGAGAAAGACGCTCACAGTTACCCAAGCAGGGCCGGAACTTGCAATCCTCCTGCCTCAGTCTCCCAATTACCTGGAATCACACACGTGCACCACACCGGGTCTTTTTCTTGTTAATTTGAGGTCTTCATTCTAGATGACTCTGATTTATCTACAGACTAAGCAGTCCTTCCCAGTTCTGGGCCTCCAAATCAGACAAATGCATCTTCCTTATACTCAACCCAACCCAAGCCAAAATCAGAGCCCTGTGGTGCTCACTTTCTGACCTCCTCCCAGGCTGACTCTGCACCAGTAACTAACAGCGTTTGCATAGGATCCCTAAATTAAACCAATACCACCACCCAGCCCCTTCTATTAAATCATACTACTTATGATTTAATACAGACAAGGGTATCTTAAGAAACTGTGAACTACTTTACTAAAGCTGCTGCATCATTCCCTTCTGGTTTAGTAAGCAAAACATCACATAAAACAGGAAATAGATTCAACTTGATGTAATTCAGCTGACTTCTAGGTACCCTTGCATCCTATGGCTATATGCTTTTAAGAAAATTCCTAACTTGTATCTGTGTGTTTAAAAAAAAAAGGCAATACTTTTAGGTAAATTTTGTCCTACCTGTAAAAAGCAGGGAAACGATTGGTCAGCCCCTGTCACCTGCAGCTCACCTGGGAGGAGCTCTGAATGGTGGGTAGTTAGGACTCCAGGAAAAGCCAGAGTGTCCTCAGCCATAAAGACTTCCCACACCAGCTGTCCCAAACACACCTACTCTTCTGTAGCCATATGCATTAATACCTGGGCTTGTGCCAGCTACACTGCAGCCACTATGAACCTCTTCAGACTATGCACCCTTTCCCGCTGGGGCTCCCGCTTCTCCTTGGTCTTCTTTTATGGGCCCACAGAACCAAAGCACCTCAGAATCTAATGTCCCAAGGCAACTGACAGCTGTGACTCACAACTCACCAACTCATAACCCCAACATCCCTTTCAGAGCAACATGCCAGGAGCCACGATCTAATCACGCTAGCCAGAAGTAGAGGCAGGAGAGAACTTCAGATCACTAGAAGTCTGCCTCGCTTTCTAGATGACAAAGCAAAGCCCTCTCTAGTAAATCCCATGCTGTTCATCATGAAAATATTTCCAAGGCCCAGCCAGCAGCTCCCCAGCAAGAGCTGCTCACTGGCCTAAAGCAAAGCATGGCACGGGAATCCTCGGATTCCACAGTCTCTGGCTCCTGCCAGAATCCTTGGGGCGGGGAGGGGGGCAGCCATGGCCTGTGACAGCAGCACACATTCTCCAGCATGGCATCCAAGACTTGAAAACTGAGGTCACAAAGCCAAATGCCAATGGGACATAGCGAGAAATGCCAAGCAACTGGACCCAGGCAGGCAAGAGAGGACGATAGAATCATGATGTTTGGGAGCAGCAGGCCTGACCCTTTCCATAGGCAATGACCACCCCTCTGCAGGAAATGACCGTCAGATCTGACTGTTTTCAAAAAGCCCACAGGTTTTCTGGATTATTCCTAATGTTTAAAAGCCTTTATGCTATCCAAACTGTAACAGCATATAGGCTTGAAAATTTCTACAAATCCCTCCTTAATACAGACCTACATAATTCCTACCTCTCCAATCTAATTTTCCCCTGCTCTATCACAAGAGTCCCATGTACTTCACACCCACACGCACATGCTATGTCGCTCCAAACTCCTCTAACTTGCACAGGAGTTTCTCCCATGCGACATCTGAGACAGCCAAACTGTTCACCCCAGACTTCCTTCATCCCAAGAGTTTTGTCTATCTACACTGCACATATCATGATCCCTTTTTCCTCTTTTTTTTTTTTTTTTTTTTTTGGTACCAGGGATTGAACTCACAACCTCGCACTTGCCAGGCAGGCACTTATGCTACTGAACTAAATCCCTGACTACCACCCCGTTTTCATACACTGCAGGCATTTGTTTTTCATTTTTGGCATTTAATCATCTCGCCCTGCTCCTTAATCCAAGCCACGCCTTAAACCTCCAAAAAGACTGAACAGTTTCTATCTCTCATTTGTATCTTTCTACCTTCAGTACTGTGAAGTGTATGTTCACACATGCACAACTTAATCAATGTTTACTGAATGTGAACATTCCTCACTTTTCAAATGGTTCATGCATTGTGACCCACTATTTCATCAGAGAATAACTCCATGAACTTAGGAACAACAGCTGTTTTGATTTTTAGACAGGGTCTCCCTAAGTTGCTCAGGATGGCCTTGAACTTTCAATCCTCCTGTCTCAACCTCCCTCCCAAGCATGTATGACCATGCCCAGCTAACAATTGCTATGAAAAACAATAAGAAAGCCCCCCCAAAAAATGTTAAAGAAGATGGGACCATGCAAAGGGAGGTAGTCCTGCATGAACTGAAATTAGACTGTAACATACATGCTGTATGTTCAGGGTCATAGTGTAAATTTTATTTCTTAATGTAGGTCACAGCCAGAACAGTACAGAAAACCTTGCTCTAGAATGAGTGAGCTCAACCACTGCTCACATGCAATTATTTTTCACGCAGTCAGATATTTGCCATAAAAAAAAAATTCTGATCCACACCCCTGCAGGTCTCCTCCCCTAAGTTCTGTTCCCCTACCAGTGCACCGATCCTGCAGCTCAGAGAAACAAGGAGGCTAAGTCACTAGTTACATTCTCGGCTCATTCTGCAGCCTTCTGCAACCATCCTCCAAATTCAGATGTTGCAAGTTGAGGCTTG